AGTCGGGGCAAAATTCTGTCCTCGGCGCGACGTCATCCTGATTCGTCGTAAGGGGGCGCCACGCAAACTTCCCGGATAAGGAGTTTTCGGAGATCGTTTTCGCCGTCCCTCAACGCTCTCCGCAACCCGCTACAATACCCGGAACTCTAGTCAAGGCTATCGGCGCGCAGGTCCAGCAGCGGCTTCTTCGTTCCAAATGGCTTAGCGGAGGGGGAAACGCGGTCTACGAAAACTCCCAATTCTCGGGGCTAGATCACAGACAAAAACGCTGGAATCCGCTACAAACTCTCATGTAACGGGAACGAATACCGCAGACCGCGGATGCAGCAGATTCGCATTTCACGATGCAATATACACGCGGGAACAACTCGGGTGTTACGGGAGCCGATATCGCGCACGCAGATCGCGGACAAAACCGTGGGAATCCGCTATGAACTCGCTTGGTACAGCAGATTACGTGGCGGATGAGATTCCCGTCGGGCATCGCGTGACGTCCGACGGGAATCGGGGGGTGGGCGATGTTTCGGAATTATTGTTACAGATATTTAAACAGAAAAACGGGATGGGCGATCTCTCAGGGGTGGGCGTTCTCTCTGAACTTTACGGTATACGTGCTGGGTGTACAAGCCAAGGACCAAAAAAAATTTACAACAGACCGATCTCACCAGCCAGTTTGACTACGCCACCGCTGCCGCAATGCTTCGAGCCCGAATCTCGCTGGAACTCTGCGCCTGAAGAGCGCGAGACGGCACGAGCCGTCTCGGACACTGCCGCATGCTTCTTGTGAACTAAAGTTATGTCAGCTTCGCGGATGGGCTGAGCACTTGGCGAGATCGGTCTATACGACTTGGCTCGTTCCAAGCTGATAAAAAGAGAAATAGTGAAAAGCTGCCTGAGAAAAGCCCTCTTAAAATCCTGTGACTACATAGCAGGAAGAAGCTTTGAAGCACAAGTGGAACAGCTTGGAGTCTGGATACCCAATTTTTATCCTCCACGAAGTAGTAGAAACATTGATGACAACCAACGGAAGATGAGAAAGAAGAGCTTACAAGAATCACCGGCCAGCTATTGTACCATATATACATCCACAAAATATCTCACAACTTGAAAAGGGTAGCAAATAAGTTTGACATCCAAGTAGTACTCTCTGCACCAGACAAGCTTTAAAGGCTTTGCCCAAAAATTAACTCCAAGGAATCACCTGACCAAGGCACGGTACAGAATATGCAAACAAATACAGGGTGTCACAAAAGAAAATTTACACGGTCTTTTTTACCGCAAAAATAAACTAGGCATCGCCGAGCGCTCATTCTCCGCCCAAAGGTAGAGCTAGAGGTCACAACCAGATGCCAAAGTTTCAGCCCGATCCGATAACTTAATCAAAAGTTATAAGTGATTTTCTGAAAAGTTCAATGGGAAAATGGAGCCTATTTTTGCCTGTTTTCGGTTTCTGTTGCCATAGAGCCCCACGTGTTTGAAAACTCCGTCGGCCGCCATTTTCCCATTGAAAGTTTCAGAAAACGACTTATAACTTTTGATTAAGTTATCGGATCGGGCTGAAACTTGGGCATCTGGTTGTGACCTCTAGCTCTACCTTTGGGCGGAGAATGAGCGTTCGGCGATGCCTAGTTTATTTTTGCGGTAAAAAAGACCGTGTAAATTTTCTTTTGTGACACCCTGTATGTCAACTGCAGCGTAGGTGGCCTATAAGAGATACCATTTACCTGTGGGAGAGTCTACGTGATCCAAACTGGCAGGTGTGTTAACACCAAACTGCGCGAGCATGCCCTTTCACTTATGGGGGACACTACCCAAAAAAAGTGAATATTTGAACCACTTGTCTCATTTAAATGACATTTACAAGGCTTGTTTCTGTTGATGTTGAGAACATTTGTGCCAAATATTGTTAACCTGGGTGAAATACAAACAAAATTGCAATTGTGCAAAGATGAAAGTGGGCGTGTCTGCGTGGGAAAACTATCGTTCTGAAATTACTTACACATTTGTCATTTTCATGTTATATTGCTTCAGGCCAGTTCAGAGCAGATAGCTATGGAGCTATATATTCTATATTGTACCATCTTTCATGACAAAAAAGCCACATAAACATACTGTTCTTTAGATTTCCATCCTTTGTCCAAAATTTTAGTTTTTGAGCATGAAAAATAACAAAAATAAAAATGCAGGCTCATAGCTATCTTCCCCTTAAAATATAACCACAGGAAAACTCATAAAAATGAATCCAGGTTACGTAATAACAAAACGATAGTTTTCCTAAAGTAAAATTTATGCCACAAAGTGGAATGGAGAAAAATGACCTTTTCTTTAGCATCGGTGGACCGAAAATAATTTATAAAAAATTAACTATGCATTGTAAACTAATGAAACTTCCTGGGAATAGTCTCTAGATGTTGGTGGATATAAATATGAAATTTTTCAAAATCGACTTTTTTGCAGAGATTGTTTTTTTCTGGATAGTGTCCCGCTTAACACCAGCTATGCTTGCCACGTGTTTAGCCAAACTAAAGTCCACAAGCAGTATCATAACCGGAGCAGGCCCACACTACAGTGTTCCCACACCATCAAAGCTAAAAAGGATATGTGCATTAGTGACAAAGAAATGAACTACCTCAACTTCTTTTCATAAAGAATTTTTCATTAAGATGTTTTCAAAGTTTCATGAAACATTCATATTCTATTTAATTTGTGATTTCCAAAAGGCTTCCTTTTTCACCCTGTCATTTAAATTATTATCACCTCTTCCTGCCTTTGTAATTAACACATCCCTCACTTCCTCCTTGTCTTTCACTACCAATGCATTAAATCGTTAGTTGATAGTAAGCACTTGTCCCATCTTGTTGTGTCCAGTGATGTGATTGGCCTAAGCCATTTTGGAGCACCTCTCGGAGCAACCAAAACAGTGTTTTGGAGCAGTAAAAGAGTATTTTGGAGCAGCCAAGACAGTGTTTTGGAGCAGCAAAAGTGGCTTTTGGAGCAGTTATTCTTAGAAAAATGAAAATATTCGTTTTAAGTGCTGTACAAATGAAGGGCACTTTGTGTTGTGACTAGTGTGCTGTTCAAATGTGACGTGTTGTGACGTAACTCGCTGCTTGTGTTTTTACTGCAGAGACATTCCACAAGTGAACAGTGCTGTAGGCGTTGCCGAGCGATTCCGAAAAACCGCTTGCCACCGTTTTACTGGTTCCCGACGAATCAGATTTTCGTAAAAAGTAAGAAAACGTGAAACAATGGATTGCAAGCGTTCCGGTTGGTGCCTCTGTCGTGCAATCAAGTTCGCAAACACGTGAGGGAAACTTCAGCAGCAGGCTTGCAGTTGCGCGTGCTTCGTCGCGTGAACGGAGAAAACGGCCGTTCAATCGAAACCGAAACCATGTCACTCCTCTCCGTCCCCAAAATCGAATGCAAAATGTAACTGTCGAATATACGATGAAAAACAGTCCAGCGGCGCGTTCTTGTCAGGCAGGCAAACGAGGTACAAGCTAAACACATAAAAAAAGCAAAAAAGAACCTGAGTGCATCGAAGCAAGACATCACAAGCCAGGGTCAAAAAGTTCTTGGAGCGCTTTGTGCAACGACTGAACTCGAGACAAACAAGCGTGCTGTGCGAATTCAACGCAGAAAATGCTTTCTTTGCTTTAGCTCAGTTTTCTTCACCAGCTTTCTTATCGCGGCAGATTTTTCACGTACCGGGGTCCCTCTCGAAAGTAAGCCCAACGAGAGAAACCTAGGTAATTAATACTTTGACACAGCAGCCTTTCAGTTGAAGAGCAGGAATGTTGATGAGCACGCGGTGGTGCTTCATTTTATTTTAGAAAGCGCCATATCTGCAGCGACGTGGGGACGGCAACACCCGACGTCGCGCGACCACGGTAACTGGAAGGCAGGGACCAAATATAGTTTTCCCACGGCTGTAGCTATTAGGAACGAGTGCCTCCCTCCGCGCAAAAACGCGGTTTCATTTCACAGCACGACGGCATGGCTGGCTCCGCACACATATTAAAAAAAAAAAAAAAAAAAAAGCGAGACGAGATTTAAGATACGACGAGAACGCGAGATGGCAGGAAAACATGCAGGAGCAGATGGTCGGCCGCTTGCGCCACATCGGTGCTCAGTTTAGTTTCGGTTTTGAGAGGCGATCGAAATTGTTTTTTTGGCGCAGGCTTGGCGCAGATTACCCATATTTTGGAAAAATGTAGCAGGATGTAGCAGGGTTAGCTCCTTAACACAGTTTGTCGCAGTTGGCGCAGCAATCACATCACTGATGTCTTGTTCTTGACTTTTCAACTTTTGATATTTACTTTTGTGAACGATCAGACTTTTTTTCTGGAAAAGGGGGCGACCTTGAAGGTAGGATCTATACAAGAGAGGTTTACTGGATAAACTTTTAGCCGAGTTTGAGACCTTGTCTTGCCTCTGTCACATTTTTTTCTTTCTCTTCAATGTTTGGTGTTTCAAAGTTTTCACCCCAGTTCGGGTAATTCATCAAGATGTTTGCTTTACGCATTTGTGTGCTTCGAACATGTCTACGGCCAGTCTTCGTACAACCAATGTGCCAGGACCGTCAAATACAAGAAAAAAACATGTCTGCATATTATCTTTCGTACAATGTTTTAGCAGTGTGATGGCAGCTTTAAACTCTCGGAAAGGCAGAACGCATGGACTTTTCTCTGAGTTTGTGCAACATGCTTCACAGGGAGCTCGAAGCAGCAGCTGTCCCTCAGGTGAACAGATTCTATCGTCAGTAGACATGGCCGTGGGAAAAGATGTAGCCCTTCCAGACGCCCATATCAGGAGCGAGACTCAACCCCCCAACAATAAGTTTCAAACTTGAAGTACCAAAAAAGGTAGGGGACAAATTCGGGAGACCAAAACAAGACAAAGCCTCATTCGCCCGAGCCTCTCTTTGTCCCCAGATTTCATTTGGTGCTTCTCCTCATCCCTCCCATTCCACTACCGATCAAAACGGGGCATTTGACTCCTTGGAAAGACGATAACCGTTTATTTACAGACGCCCGAGGTGAACACAATAAGAGGGTGGAATGCACCAACAAATGGACCCGTCCATGGAGGTGACGGACGAAAGCTGCTCGTATATTTACAACGAACTGACGAATTTCAGCGCACTCGTGCCGAGCTGCGTGTGCCTCACGCCGATGACGTACTCCAGGATGGACAAGGTGTTTCTGGCTTCCGTGACATACTCCACGTTGAACGCCCAGTACATGCAGATCATCAGGGAGATGGCGTGCTTGATGTCTACCACAGTGATGACGATGTCCTCGAAGGCAACTTGAACTATGGATGAGTTGAAGGCGTCCTTTCCAGCGAAGATGATGGTAGGGTGGTGGTGCTCTGTGCCTGGCTCCTGAGAGAATGAAAGACCACCTATAGGCCCCATTCACACAAGCGAGTTTCCTAGCATTTTCTTACATTATGTTTAAGTCACCGGAACATTAGTGTCTCAAATGTCGCGTGCTAGTCTGCTCCTTGAACTGGTTGCTACACTTCATTTGAAGCACAGATGTCTCTGTGACTCGCGAAGAAGGCCGACGTAACCTTTTGTAACATAAAGCAACGTAAGGAAACATCATAGTATACATAGTTGTAATGATCTGCATACAGTAATGGGTTAGAAAAAATAAAAAAAAATAATAGGGAGTATTTAATGTTATCAAATATAGTAATCAGTCAATTCTGTTGTGCTACCATTAAAGCAATTACACACTGTAAATGATCAAATTAAGTGCGACACCCCTATGAATCGGAACCTACTTGTGCGACTCCAGGAAACTGCGGACAATTTAATGCTCCACCAGAGTTGAAAAGAAAGTAACTTCTGCTATACATTCCCAACACGAAACATACCCCGAAATGATGGCAATCACTGCAATAACAAATATGCTCCTGGAATGTGGATATATTGCCAATTGTGCAAATACGTTAGAACCACTTTGAAGCTAGCACACTCAATTTATATTGGCTATCACGTGGAGCGAGATGTCACACGATCCTCTACGCAGCGAAGGGCGAGATTGGGGCTGGTGTGGCGCCACTCTTTGCCACGTTTTAGTGTCTACGACATTCAACGTCGCCTGCAAAACTGCAGCATAAGTCTGCACACGTAGTCTTCGTTGTGTGGACAAAACTCCGAGACAATAATCACAAATGGTGAGACGACGACAGCGGTTGTGACGCGGGGAAACGGTAGGTGACGGCGGGGCGGCCGAACGGCTCCCAAGTGTGCAGCACAGGGCGCATTACGCCAATCACGTGGTCACCGCTGAGAGGAAACGTTGCCCACCATCACTTGTTACGCTTGCGTAACAAATGATGCCACTGTTGGTTGTGCCTCAATTTGCTTGCTCGAGTTAGCCCATTTTGGCCACTTGGCGAGTTGCAAAGTTTGCTGGACCGTTTACGAAACATTTAGACAACTAGGTAGTAGTATTTGGCGTGTGGTCTTCCTAGGCAATACTGAAGAAGACTGCATTGGTTTTTCAAAAACAAAAATGAAGCGGAGTTGTCCTTTAATCTCTGCTAGACATTCTTTTTGCTATACAAGTGCTTCAGGTAACCTCTGCCAGCATTTCAAACTTACCACAACTTTACTCTGCGAAAAAACCAAAGTTGTGCAAAATTGGTAAAAGACTTTTTGCCCATTAACTGAATGGGAAATATCGGAATATGAGCTAACGTAAAGGACTTACATTTTGCAGTGGCATCTTCATTTCCACACATTACAAAACATAATGAAAAGTTTAACAGCCAGTCGACCCAGTCACAAAGCTTTCTGCCAGCAAAATATTTAAAAGATTGCAGAAAAATTTCCAACTCGAGGAACCCAATTTTGAGATCAACGCAAGAAGTGAGGGGTCGTCTCTGTGTGGATTGTTTCTACATCGAATTCCATTATATCCAAGTTCTGAGACAATTCTAGCTTGATGCCATTATATACTATATGTCCTCCACAGAAATCTACCTAAATGTAGGACTATAATAAATACTGTACCAATTTTTTCAGGAACCGATCAGACTTCTCCCGCACCAAGCCTGGTAAAAGGCAAAGGCATGCCGTTGCCAGGAAGCCTAGAAAAAAAACCAAATGTGTAAGTATAGACCTTATTTTCATGTTTCAACGCTTTTTGTGGGGTTGGGGCACGAAATAATAACCCATGGAGCATAACTCGGTAAAAAAATATCACAAAGATATCACAGGAGCCTCTGGAGAATGCTTACGGGCTGCCATGTTCCTAGCGGTCTGTCGTAACAGACACGGGGACACAGACGTCGACTTCCGGCCGTGAGCTTCCGTGCTCGTGTTTCGGTATGAAACAGTCGTTTTTTTGGCTTTATTAAAAGTATGCGTGACTCTGCAGAAACATTGATTGGGTAGTTCCCTGACACCATAACAAATTGCCTAACCCAAAATAAAAAAAACTTCCTTGCGGAAGTGTCACTGTCCCTCTAAGCTTCAGGCCGTCAGCGTGGTATGTAGCGTCGCGTCCGTAAAAATGAGAGTGAGACGAAGTAGGTCGACTCACTCTTGGTCTGCGCCGGGAGGCAGGAGCCCGCGTCCTTCATCACTTCGTTGGCCTTCTCCCTCGTGCTCGGCTTCTCCATGAGCAGGGCGAAGACCCGGTCGATCTTGTGCTCCAGGAACGTCTGCAGGCCGGCCGCAGCGTCCCTCTGTGTCAGCCGCTGGAACTCGTACCGGATCTGCTCCAGGGCGGGGGAGACACGGCGACGAGAGCAACCATCATGCACAGTTATTTAAACAATGGAGCAGTAGAGCTTGTGCAGATGCAAATGGACGTCAAAATTTACTGGCACACTAGAAGCTTTGGTGCCAGCCCCTCAGTTGAGAGTAAGAAACGAGATAAACTGGCGATCGACTGCTCGTGGTAGCTATAAGTTACAGACAGGCATGACCTCGAACTAAGCTTGGAAAGGACAGGCTTCCACAACAGCCTGCTCATTTTCTATCTCTTTTTCTGAAGAAAGCCATTCACAGCAGAGTTGTGGAGTTCAAAGTTCATAATCGTGCTTCATTACTTTGAAATCGCGTGCACGTCAAGCTTCACCACCATCAGTGATGGAAGCAGTGTTTGACCCTTTTGTAGCAAGTTCTGTAGCAGGCAAAATATTGGTCTAGAGCAGCTATTTATGCTTCTGGAGCAGATGCCAACATCTTTTCCCCCAGCTCAGCCGCTGCTCCTAGCACTCCGCTGCTCCCAACACCCTCCAATAGCCTCACATCTCGCAAGTGAGCATTTACAAATAAGATTCCACTACATAATGTGGCAATTATAGACCCTCATCGACCCTCATTATCTATGGTTATGGTACAGTAAAACCTCGTTATAACAAAATGGGATATAACAAACTAATGGATATAACAAAGCAATCATAATTCCCCTTGCTTGCTAATAGTGGGAAGAAATGGACATTGGCTATAACAAACTAATGGTTATAACGAAATAATTACGACCGCTCCTTCAACTTTGTTATAACGAGGTTTTACTGTAGCAGCACCTAGCACTGCAGGAGAGTGTACAATCGGGAAAGCAACCACTGGCACTTACGGTAGCCATAATGCTGTCTCTCAACTTTAAGAACGTCGAAAGTGAACTTTGCCCAATTTCATATTGCATTTACACGAATCTAGGTCCACCCATTTTTCAATCTTTGAAAGATTAAAGTCTGAGGTCGACTTACAATCAAACCAAAGCATTCCTTCCACCGCCGAAAAAACGAAACAATCGTGGCATCACGAACACCCTGGCTTGTTACAAGTTCAGCCGCTCTACCTGTAGGATTGCGCCATTCTGTGCGCTCATTTTACAAGATCTTTTTTTTTTTTTTTATTTGCACGAACGAGTATTATTGATAGTGTTTTGCAAATTATCCCGAATGCACAGCGGTGAACAGCAGATGGCGCACTTGGTTCCTGGGGGTGGCGGCACTTCTTGTAAGAGCCACTCCGGAGGTCACTGGAACAGCCTCATGCCTCACTCCCTGCGGCTTCTTTTCACAGTCGCAAGTCATTTGATTGAGTGTCAAAATCATGCTGGGGCGCCAACTATGGTTTTTTTGCATTTGCATGATCTGGGCAGTTTAGGTTTTTGGTGTTCGTTTATAGACATTCTTCATCCAGAAGCAACCAACTACACAGCTGGGTGCCAGTTCGACCCGTCGGAGTGGGTTGTTCTCCACTGGAGTCCGCAATGACGTGGGATCTTAACTGTGACGGCAAACGAGGCTTCCGCGGGCCAAAGTCTGGATAGGTGGGGATGCCTTGCAGAGCTGGAGGTCAAGCTTGCAATGTATACCGCAAAAGTGTGTTATCTGTCCCTACCCGTGACGTGCAATGCGATCACTAAGGAATCGCGGAAGATGAGGTTGATGCTGTCATTTGCGAAGTGCGAGATTTATTTTTATGACGCCGACGACGTGCTTTGTGAAGAGATCATGACCGCACATTTCTGTGTGTAGTTTTCGACAATAAAGTTTGTTTCTGTTATTTATTTTTTTTTTCTTGTGGAGGCTGCCGATAGGTGTATGTGGGATTTCCAAAGACTTCGTTAAATCAAAAGTGTGGCGCAAAATTACTTCACTAAATCAAGAGTAAAATACATTGTCTTCAATGGAAAGCAAGATAGGGAGACGATACAAATGTTGTTAGTTCGCGAGTTTCGTTAGATCGGGGTTCGTTAAATGGAGGTGAAATGCTGTGAAATTCTTATTTGTACTATTTTCCTTCCCTTCTACTTCCTGAATATTAGGGTCAACCAGTAATAAAAATGTTCTTTTTTTGCTTGATGTTTATTTTGACGCAGGTGTGGCACAATTCTTAGCAAAAATGGCATTTTGGAGCAAGATGTAACAGACTTTCACTCATAGCGCAATCTGGCACAAAACTTCCATCATTGCACCATGCATCGGACTGCTATGCTCTGTTTCACGATAACTTGGCAAACTGTGGAGTCTAGGGTCCCATGACCCAATAAGAGCGTCGCAGCGAGGCACGTGACCCAACGTCACGGTAGCACTTGTGTCGCTACGCCAAATGTGAGGCACGAGATCCGGAGGATCTGGCTGGCTGCCGTCTGCTTGCCAAGAGTCGTCTGCTCCGATACCAACCAACTTTGGATGAACGTCCACTGCGGCAGCATTTCCGTCCACTAGAATAGCGAGCACTTTGGGAACAGTTCATGAGACAACCATACGCTCAATTAAGCTGCGAATTGGTGACGGGTGCTAATGCCAGGGCACAGTGCGGTGTTTTGAGCGGTAATGGCAGATCACACGGCTGCAACCGGCGGCGATCGCCAACTGCCATGGCGCTACAAGGAGAACAATCGGGAGCGGATACAGATGTGGCGTCACTTTTTTGGTTTAATTTTTGAAATCCATAAATTTGGGATTAGGTATTTATTCTTTACTCTTCATATATCCTCGTCAGAGAAGGAATCGTACAAGTTCATTTGCCATTAACCCTTTAAGTGCCTTTAATAAAAATATATGGCATTTTTTGTTGCTTTTCTTTTTAAAAAGTGACACTTACGGGGTTAAATGAAAAGCAGCGTAGAACTACTTTTTGTCGAGGACGGCGCAGTTGCTTTGGCGCTAACGAGGCCCCCATGGCTTTGACCATGGAGTGTTATTACATACCTTGCTCTGGCGTTCTTATTGGGTCGCGGGGTCCGCAACCTCCACAATTTGCCAAGTTAGCGTGAAACGGAGTATAGACACGGGAGCATCGGGTTAGCTTGACGGGCTCTGAAATTTTGCTTGCTCTTAGAGATCAACATTCTTCGGTAACGATTACCGATATAACTGCCTTTGTATTTCAAAGGGTGGGCAAGTCCTTCCCAACCTTGAAAGTTCTCTTGAAATAAATTGCTCTCCGACAGCTGCTTCCCATTTCACCTAATGGCCCCCCAATGTGACGTCCGTTGCCACGTTACCCCAGGTCAGACAATTTTTATTTGTGTTTAACAAAAAAAAAAAAAAAAAAAATACAGGAGGACATTTAAAAACCCCATGCGCAGAGAGAAAAAAAAAATACTTTTAAACATTTAAACAGCCTAGATGAAAAAAAATGCCATAAAATAAACTTACAAAAAAAAAAAAAAAAAAAATAAAGCTTGTAGTGCTATTTTTATGGCGTGAAACAAATTTGTAGTTGGCGCCCTGGCCGCTATGGTCATGTGGTCCTTGTGCTCTTTCGGGAGGTTCATATGGGCTCCAAAAGTCACTTATTAATAGTGATGATAGTGATTAATAGACTTTTTCCGAATCGAAAGTTCAACGCCGAATCCTGGGATTCGGCGAAGCCGAACTTTTCTAAACATTCGGCAAAGCCAAACTTTTCTAAAGATTCGGCAAAAATAGACTTACGTTGATATATTTTTTTTTTTTTTCTGGCAAAAAAAAGGTTTTAGCTTGTATTTTTCTTAACTTAAATGCAACATGTAATGCATATTGGCACAGTTATTACTAAATAAGGTGATCTTTTACAAGATACCGTTTTTTCCGGACTATCCGCACCCGGTGTATAGTCGCAGGGGGAAATTTCGGGTCAAAAATAAAAGAATTTGCTTAGATAGCCCGCACCCAGTGCATAGCCCGCACTCGGTGCATGGTCCACACCTGGTGCTTAGTCGACACGAAAATCTTCTCATAGACGGCACATGTTTACAAATGTCTGCTTTTTAGCTCACAATAAAGCCTATAGTGTGCATAATCATCATTAACATACACTTTCGTGCACAAAATTCGTCACGTCTCGTCATAATCAACGATCTTGAAAAACGTAATTCCTGTATAGTCCGCATGCGTAGATAGTCCGCACAGCCAGAAATTTCAACTTTTAAAGATGTATAGTCCGCGGACTATAGCCGGGAAAATATGGTAATTGTAACGGGGTTGTTTTTGTGTGTTTACTGACAATTTTAGTGACTTCTTGTAGAAGTGCCGTGACAACGAGGGTGGATAGTAGCAACATTGGGTAGCAGCGAGCGCAGTGCGCAGTCACGAATCACGCTACAAGTGTTTCGGTTTGGAGGTCTCATCAGCACAAGCCTGCAAGTGCGTGTGGTGTAAATACAAAGGCAATAACACTGTGTTTTTACTTTCTGTGGGAGTCACCTTTTCCTGCGGAAAAATAAATGCAACGGTTCCTGAGCCTTCACCAGAAAAGATAACCATATTATTGTCAATATGCATCTTTCTCGATTTTAGTTACTGGACGTCACCATTGCATGAAAGTGTGCGCCCCGCCCCATATTCGCAACGTCTTGTTTTTGACCTTTAAAATGCCGTTTTCTGGTGTTAGGACACACACGGACGTTTAGGAAGGTTGGAAGAGTTAGGAATGTCGGATATGCAACGTCGAGCACAATAGTTCTGTGTTTACTGTTATGTACATACACGATAACCGCGAAATAACGCTAATTAAAAAGCAGTATTATTCTGTTCTGGCACAAACTTCTTCTGACCCAAAAACAGGATTGTTATAGTTGCAAGGAGTGCTTTAAAGTAATTGCTAGTCAACGCTTCAACTACCTTGTTGCATCACTAAAAAGGCAAAATGAAAGTTGCATCATCCAGAATGTACCGCATCATCTGTCACTTGCGCAGTGGACTGCATAAATTATTGGTCAATCTTCTGTTCTTGAGGCAGAAAATATTGAAGAGAACCACACTTGCAAAGGCTCACAAACGCAGTTAACGTGTTGCCTACTCCCACACCTCGCTGTAGCCGCTGGTTGTTCTACACTGTACATTGCGGCGTCCATTTGCAGTTCATGGCCCCGTCCCCGTGTCCCTGTCACCTTCTCGCGCGTGCACAAACATTTGCCGAATTTTCACCGAACTTTCCTTCAAAAGTTCGGCATTTGCCGAACTTTTGCTGAATCTGAAGTTCGGCAGATTCGGTTCATCACTACTTATTAATCTTCGCTTGAAGTGCAGCAAAAAATGAAGATTAATAAGTAACTTTTAGAGCCCAAAGGAAGCTTCTGAAAGAGCGCAAGCACCACGCGATAAACCTCTGCGCCTGTCAAAAACTGACGGCGGCGGAGCGACGGAGTGTTCCCTTCCAACGGCAAGGGCGTGGAGAAATGCGTTCAACCTGCGACGCACCACGCTCAGCATGCGGCGGCGGCAGAATACAAGTCTACTACGTAACCAGTGCCGGCTCTCGCGAGCGCCGACTACAAATTCGTTTCGTGCCGTATATAGAGCTCTAAAATATTTTTTTCTTCGTTGTAAATTTGTTTTATGACATTATTTTTCCATCTAGGCTCATTAAAAAAACTGTTTTTTCCTTTGCATGTGTCGTTTAAAGGGGCCCTGCAATCATATTTAAGCGTCTACCTTTTTTGCGGTTTCCACGCTTCTTGGGGTTCGGGCAAGCCAGCGGGCACGGAGAGAGTAACTAAATATTAGTGCGTCATATTTTAACAGGACGAGGCGGAAACCTCCTTCACCGACGGGGGCGACCCGCGGTACCGAAAGCGCGCAAAATGTGACGTCTTAGGTCCTGGGCTTACTACTGGTCAGAGCCGCTAAAAGCTTCTTTTTAGTCGAAATACGAAATATAAGCGGCGCGAACTGTTTCAGTTATTTATAAAAGTAGTTTTTGTTTAGTATTCTAGATCCGAAAAGAAACGAATGCAGTTTATAAAGTATGGAAACAAGAAATGACCCGTCGACATACCCGCCACCAAGCGGTGGAAAAGGCGACGCATACTAGAAAAGAGTAGTTGGATCAGCCGCCGACACGGAAAGGTCCCGGATGTATGCGGCGGCGCTGCGGTCATTGACGGACTGGAGGATCCTACCGGCTCCGAGCGTTCCGAAAGCCTTCGGTGAGAAGTTTTGCCTTGCGGTTGGGCCGTTTCGCGGTATGGCAGTGCGAAGTGGCTCCCATTCTGAACTGATCTTTACCCCGTGTTTGCTGTCGTTTGTGGCCAATGAAGTGTCATGCCGAATTAGTCTTTAATCGCGCAGCAAATGCAATCAGAGCCACTCTGGCTGCCCGCCGCATACAGCCTATCCAGAACATGAGTTAGTGGCACCCTCTCGCGCCGTCGACACGGAGTGCGGCAGCTGTGAGCGCCCGCGATGAGCCCACTACCCCTCCTCAAATTCATGGCCGCTCAAGCAACCAAGGACGTCATGGGGGAGGTTATTTTTTGCTTGTTTTTGTAATTCTAATTTGCCTATAACTTTTAAAATAAAGCGAATTTCGAGAAAATAAAAATTTAACTAAGTTACTACGTCCAGTGCGCTCAGGTTCAGCGCAAATTAAAAACCAGTAAAAAGTCCTTGCAGGGCCCCTTTAAGCTTCGCCTTTAAGAGTGGAGTGCGATAGCGAAACGTATAGACCCCAGCTTGTTCCCAAGCCGTGAAAGCGTGTCTGTGTTACATCATCGGTGGTGCATCTGGCTCATAATCGGAGGGTCATGGGCTTAAATCCCAGCTCCACCTTAAATTCTTCTATTTTTGTTTCGAGGCAAATGAATAACTTTATAAAGTGAAATCATGTGAGACATGTGTCGGCCTTTAATTTGTATTACATGTCGTGTTTCTATCACTTTCAATCCACGCGTGATGTCACGTTTCACGGGGGTGCTGCGAGTCGTTTTAAATTCCCACACGAGGCCATGTGGCCACGACGTCACGACCCTATAGACCAATCAGGATTTTCCCGCCCCATGCCACTGATGCGGACGTCACTTTTCCACGACACGCGCTCCTTAAAGCTATCGCTTTAGGAGGTAGCATTCATTTTCTACAGCAAATGGTAAAAGTTACGATATTGCAAGACATTCCTTTTCTGTTAACTGACTTCTGCTCAGGGAGTTCCGATGGTAACCTCCAACGATACCACCTGAGCATCGAAAGAAAGTGTGAACATTGGGATCAATCCGCAAGACTTGCCTCCTCTTCCAGCCTGAGCGCGGGGTAGCGTTGGGTGACGCGTTCCACGGTGAGGCTGAGGTCAGTCATCCAGTACCTCCTGGCAAAGAAGGTCCGGTTCATGGCCACCTTGATCTTGACCATGTCCCTTCTGGGCTTCTCAACCTCCGCCTTCAGGAAGCCCACCAGCGCCCCGACGGTGTCTTCGTCCTCCTCTTTGCCAAGCTCTATCTGAGGCAACTGCAATTCCAACAATGCGAGGGACCCTTTTGAAATTACTCGGGTGGTTCTGGGGGTGACCGGTGGCCAAACGTGGTAGCGCACCGCAAGTTGGAGCACATGGAGCAAAAACTCGCGCTGCAGAACTCGGGGATTCTGGGTTTAATACCCGCCCCTGCCCCTTCCAATCTGGATGAGCATCGTACAGGGGTGTCGCAGTGCATCACTACTGCGCGATGCACGTTAAGAACTCCAGGTTGGTAATGGCACTGCATGGGCAAAATTCATCAACTACAGTGTAGACCAGCAACACTATACCTCAAAGGCAGACAGACCTTTGTTGTCTACGCACGAATTTGAAAATTTTCTCTTTTTATTTGGGGTGGTGCTCTTTAAACCTCAGAAAATGCTGCGATATAGGAGAACAAAAAGCAATAGGAAATGAGAACCGATATAACCAAATAGAGCTGCTTGCAACAGTGAACATTATGCAAGTTATGGAAGTGTCAGCTTGACGAGTTCACCTGCGTGCATCACTCTTTCGAGACGTCACCACCGTGTGACGTGCGAATTGGATACAAGCACTGGTGTCCGCATCCGTTTCAAACTTGAATCTATCTGTTGGTGCACAACTGACTCTAAAGCCCCTTGATATAACTAACTTCGTTGAAGACTTTAAGGCCTGTTCACACTCTTGCGACCGTGTACGACCTAGAGAGATGTGACCTGTTGAAACCTCCTAAAATTTCTTAAAACGGGAGAACACACTGGCATGCTGGCGTTATCTATGCGGTGACCCTGGAACTGCGTTCCACAAGAGCGAAGGTTTTGCGGGATTTCCAAGGTGAAATGTGCATAATACCTATACAAAAGCTTGTATATAATGTTGACAAAAGTTTTTCGAGCCAGGAAAGAAAGGATAATGCGCGAGAGAAATAGAAATTATGCCGGACTGCCAAGTTTACACCGCTACCCAATAGATGGCAACAGTGTGTCCTCTTGTTGTAATAGGTTTCAAGGCACCTAGTTCTAAGAGGTCGCAAGAGCGTGAACGGGCCTTTACTCGGCACTTTGTACGGACCAGTTGTTTCTTTGCTACCACCGAAACAAAAAGAAATCGAGAAAGGAGTGCACAGTGAAGAACACATTATCGCTTGCCGCTGATATACAAGAATGACGATGACAGATGAAATACTATGCTTTTGTCATTAGTATGGCAAAAGTCAGACTGCTACAGAGCCGCTAGATGACACTGAATTCTGTAAAGAGTAGTTTGTTCTTTGCAAAGAAAAACCAGTCTCAATTAGCAATCTTCATATGTTGCCGGACAATAAACTCCTGACCCACCGGAAGTCCGTAAGGGTGTAATATCCCATGGCACCCTCACACAGTGAGCACAGTCCATTAATATTTCCCACTAAGGAGGTCACGGCACCAAACTTAAGAAGTGGTTTACAGTTTGGAATTTCCACGGGTCATTCGATAAGCATGACAGCCTTTATACCATCTACGGCTCTAAACAATGCACCGAGAATTCACGTGGGAAGTGTTAAAAACCAATAGAACGATGCACGGTGCTGACGTCAGGCCTCTGCGATGGCGATGCTATCGGCGGGCACATGCGCTTCACTTCACACAAAAATCTGATTCTTTTGCACGCACACTGCCCACACATTGTGCGAAAACTGCGAGTTGTTCCACACCTTGTGAGGGCTTGTTTGTAAACAGCGTGTTAGTCTATAGAGACACATTTCTACAGGGTGTTCTTCAGTGCTATGCGGGCATAAAAAAGTTGTATAAATAAGTCAATGAACAGAGATCAAGGCAACTTTTAGCAAGGACGTCTTTAGGTAGTGCATTTGTCATCCTCAAATTTAGTGAACTTAGGTTTTTGGAAAAAACATGCCAGAAAAAACAAAAACTTCGTATAATTCTTATGGAACAGGAGAAAAAGAAAACAAACAGTCCGGTTGACGCTGCTGCTTGCTGCCACTCTTATATCGTACCACACATGCTCGGATCTTCTGGATCTGCTTTGGGGCATTCATCTCCAAAAAGAATTCAAGTTTTTGTATCAAGTGATGCCACATACGTAAGTAGCGGCATCGATCGGACATTTTGTTTCCGTTTTCCTTTCCCACATAGGAAATGACAAAATGCGCACTTACGCATCGGATGGCCGCAGCACGGCCGGTGGATGACTTGCCGCCGTCTGTGCTTGCGGAAGCGGCCAGTGGCCTTGTCGCTTCGAGGCGTTGTCGAACCTTGGCCTTGGCACGATCCACCTCCGGAACTCCCGGACCCATCCTCCGGCGCATGTTCTTCGCACGACTGCGCATTCCCTCGTGCCACGTTTTCTAGAAAGGGCGATATAGGCATTACCAATAACTCCAAAGAGGTTCTTTCTAAATGTGGAATAGGTAGATGAAAGGTAGACCTGGAAATAAACGCTTAACGAGGCAAACTTGAGCATACAAACATGACGAGAAAGGTACAGGCGTTTAGCGTCGGCGACGGAAAGACAACTGACCAGAAGCGTCATGTTAGCCCTGCTTTTAAGCGTGTGGTTATTCCAAACCAGAATGCACGATGACAGCCGAGAATGCGCCGAAACTTTTCAGAAGGGTACAGATAATAAAAGCAAGAACAAGGCCGAGCGGGGTCCAAAACCCCCTTTCCTTCGCACAGTGGCAGCACGTGTGGCCAACTTTGCCACACTCGCGCCATCATGACATAAACAACGGAGAACACGCAGTCGAGCTGTTGAATTTTCAACGTCTTGACAACCCGAGACCAAGGACAGAAAAGAGGGACGGCATGCACACGGGTCTCAAATTCAGCTACGATGTTTGTTCCCGCTTTCTAGTTCATTAAAAGGACCCGCGCACGACGTTCGGATGCAAGCAGTAGGTCAGAATCGCAGCAACCGCTTGAGATGTCAACGCTCGGTTAAAAGCTTCAAAGTCAAATGAGGCATGTGTATCGGTTTACGAACTTTATGGCCAAAGACCGGAAAAACGGAAGAGGCCCAAGCTAGCGTAGGGCCTTGTTTAATCCGACGGAAGGTATGGGAGCAGTACACACGTCCGGCGGAACCCTTCATTTTGAAAGCGGCCACGCTGCCCTCGTCGAGCCTACTTCATGCGGGTGCTTTTGCATCAAGCTTTACCACTTCGCACCAACGCGTGCGTGTAAAGCTTCGCCGCCCTGCACCGGCTTCTTGGAGAAGCAGCCGACATTGACGAGCACTCCGGTTAGTTTGGTAAGCTTTGAAGTCTGCTCGCGTAGGCACTTGATGTAATCTATATTACAAATGTTTCAAAAGTATAGTTGGCAAACGGTAGATTATGGTATTTTACGGTAGGTAGGTCCCCCGCGGTTGCCAAGTCTATACTTACACATCCCGTGGGCGAAGCATCACGCAGCTGAGGATACCTCCTCACCAACTCGTCCGCTGCGGTGGAGTAGAGCCTCCCTGGGTACCTGGATGCATAATTTTGCTTTAACCCAAACTGCATTAAAAAAAAACAGGTAAAAAAAAAAAAAAAAAAAAAGATTAATGAGAGAGCAAAAAATGCACATAAAATAATGAGCAACAAAATCGTGAGTCCTAAAATCATAAGCAACAAAACGCAGACATAAAATTAACACAATCCCAAACCTACGCATCACTGTCTCCAAACAAACATAGAGAGTATTTTCTATCATTATATACTTGACACTAGCCTAGATCACCTCAATAATAGGAAACAGCGGAGGTAACGAACACGCATAATTTCCTCACAAATATGCGTGGGGTGAAAAACCGTGGCATTTAAAAACTAGCAGAAATTGTCGAAACCGAGATGCAAAAGATCCGACGGTGCCGTTGCTCATCGCAATCACGAGCGAGACAAACATGTCCCACGCGTGACGTCACTGATATGGTCTACTCTAAGACAACCTGATTAATCTGAGGAGCAAAAAATCCTGTTAGACCAGGCCCTTGTCGATAGTCTAACCAGATGGCCCCTCCACATCTTACCACCCTAGAGTTTACAGCATGGGTTCTTAACCAAACTGGGTTCCTAGGGACTCAGCAGCTCCCCCAAGAACCCTCACAGGCTCCCCAAAATCCTGAATTGTCCCGGCTGATCCTGCCCATTAGTGGAATGCCTTTCCAATTTAAGCACTAGTTTAGGAAGCCACGAGCCGCCCAATGATGCCCATAGCTACGAGTCAAACCAAACACTCTGCAGCATAGCTTACTGTGCAGTCTGCACGCTCCAGCAGCATTCTACTTCGTCAATGTTGATCCCTTGCCATTCAATTGAGGTACATTGCACAACACTGTTAACACCAACAGTCATTTAATTTTTTTCTGTTAGAACTGTTAGTGATGTGGAATGAGCTCCTTCGGGGCACTAAGTTGAGTGATAAAGCTCGACCACCCTCAATGCTGGATCAGAGCAAGATGCGAGAAAGTGACAATGTCCCATTCACGCCGATTGTGCCGTGCAGTCCACCGTTCCTCGAGACCGAAAAGCTTCGGAACTCGCAGTTTACAAGACGCGGAATCCGGCTTACAGGGTGGCCGCAGAGAGGGCGCAGTAGAGGCGGGCCACGATCCGCTTCCTGAGGGTGGTCGGCACGAGGTCCCCTTTCCTCAGCCGGGACAGCTGATGCTTCACGTCCAGCGGGAGGTCTGGAAACTTGAAGGTCGGTCGGGCTGCCAAAACTTCCCCGTTCTCGGCAGATTCGGGTTGCCCGCCGCTGGAAAGACCCGCGCGAGCGCAAACACCTCAGTGACTCTGTCGATCAAAACTCGCCACCGCATTTCGAGCCGGTGACCAAACCGTCCTATGCGGAATAGCATTTTATGAGACGTCCGACTTCCCGACGGGGAGTCACCGTGTCCTCCGGAACGTTGCCTTGACATTCTTCCTCTTCGTATTTGCAACGACGCCAAGACAGCACGATGTAAGGCGAGAGTGTGTTGTGCGAGGCAACTCGCGTCGGCTTGCGGCGAGTTTGGCAGACGGAGAGCCGGGCAAACTCTACCTCGCTTCCACAGTGCTAAGACGGCAAGCAACAAACGGTTGCGAAATCTGAGTTGGCACCAGTGAGAATGCAAATCTGCAGTAAAACACTCATCACTTGCACCTCGGAAGGGGCGAAACCACCATTATCCTCCTAAGTCAGGTGCGGCGCTGTCGAGAACAAAAGGTGCAACCGTGCACGAGTTTCTGGAAAAGGCGCATTCTAACTCGGCAAGGTGCTGCGACCACCGAGCACCTCTCAAAGCCACGCAGTATCAATCAGTGACTTTGAGAACGATGTGCGGAAGTTCCAAAACAATCGAGGTTGGATTTTTTTTTTTTTTGGAGGTGTTTTATGTTTGGTCAAAATGGGGGGGACATAATTTTAGTCGAATAATGACCCCTGTAACTTTCGCACCTGGTCCCAACGGCTAGTGCTACATTTTGGGCGGGGAGCGAGCGTTCGGCAACGCACAGTTAACTTGTGTGGTGAGAAAATTCTAGTTTTTTTTTTCTCCCAAACAGCCTAAAAGTTTTCCCCTGCTAAGCGTGAATACATGCAGGAGCTGTGAGGGCGCTACAACCCCAACTGACCTCTCGGCAGAGGCCGGCACGTCGTCGGTCTCCGACGACTCCAGTCCGTTCAGGGTGCTGTTCTGCAGGGCCAGCGTTTCATCCCTCAAGTTGACAAATGCTGCTAAATCAAACTCCTTCATCTAAAAAAGAAAAAAAAAATGGTGGAGGGAACGAAAACGTCAGCACCCACAAAGCAAACGTGTGGCTCACACCTGTCATCTTTGCACTATGCTGATGGTCGTTTTTACTCGTTCTTGCCGAGAAAAACTAATTTGGTGGTGCGGAACATACGCTGCAGAAAGTACTCGCTGTGCAGGAAGGCCACTCGAATGGCCAGTGATGCGACGCTAATGCAAGCCGTGTACAAGCTGTCCCCAAAAATGATTTATGGGGCTTCTTTCCACCGCAAAAATAAGATATACGGCTCCGGACGCTCATTCTCCACCCAAATATAGCGCTAGAGGTCGAACCAGATGCCAAAGTTCTGGAGCCAACAGCTATCTTATTCGAAGGTTACGAGTGATTTCCTGAAATTTTCAACGAGAAAATGGCGTCTGACGGAACTCTCGCATACATGGAGCTAAATGGTGCCAGTTACCGCAAACGAGCAAAAACGGGCACTATTTTCCCGCTGAAATTTTTAGAAAATCGGTCCTAACCTTTGATTGAGATAATGGTTAGTTGTGAAACTTTAGCTTCTGGTTCAAACCACTTTAGTCACATTTGGGCAGGGAATGAGCGTTTGGTGATGCGCAGTTTATTTTTGTGGTGAAAAAACCCCAAGTCCTTTGATGGGAGATGCCATATATAAGCCCAGAGACAAAATGAAAATGTAGGTGCCGTCTTCAAACTTTTCACATGTGAAAGGAGTAAAGATTAAAAAAAAAAAAGAGAGAAATGTTTAGACTGATTTCTTTTCACCAACTTACTCGAGGATAGATTGTATGATGCTTACAACATTGTGCCAGAATACAATACGAGTGCATCAAAGTTTATAACTGGCCAACTGCTTAAAAATTTGCGATGGGTCACCATACCTCGAGGGGCCACCCCTCGAGGTATGGTCGGGAGATTTTAGAAGCCTTCACCATGTGTCGATCCAAGGACAACATCGGTTCCCCCTCCATTGCCCTTTCGGGAAAAGAGATCAGATTTCTTAGTTCGAAGCTTTCTCCCCCCCCCGTTCCCAACAGCGACATACTCTTGATGGCATAGTGCTCCTCCTTTCCACCCCTTTTTTCACCCCCCCCCCCCCTTTTCCTGTATATAAGCAAACTCTTGGTGTCATTAAATGGTGTTGCCAGTTAGAAGTTTGTGTTTGTTTATCCCTTCTCGTTTTCTTCCTCAAGTTTAATTATGTAAAAAAACTAACCTTTATTCGTTTACCCTTCCAAAGTAAAGAATAAAACAGACTTGAATTAGAACATTCATATCTATCGAATTAAACATAATGAGCAATATCAGGTACAACAGTGCATGTGCTGCAATTTGTCTTTATATTGAAGTATGGTGGGTCAGGTAGCTCGCATTTCGTTCAGCTCCATAGTACATCCGTAGGAGAAGTGAGCAATATGCCAAATAAGTCAATTACAAACACTGACATGACTACCAGCCTCGCAGATTACTATAAAAACAAAAATTTGTACCATAAATTGGATTTCCCTTCTACAAAAATTTTAGAAACTATTTTGAAACAAAAGCAACAAATCTTTTAAGGCCATTCAAAATTTTCAGAGCGTGTGCAGACTAGCGCAGTTAGCGCAATCAAGCAATGGCTTCTTTTTCTGCTTTTCTTCAAGATTCAAGAGGCTGCCACCAAAAATACTAGTATGGTGGAAAGCACCCATTTGAGGCCCCAACCTGAGCAATATAGTTTGGCATTAACAATGTCACGCCGCATACGCTAAGTAAAAGAGGACGATGAAAAGATAGTCTCTAGGTGCGAGCAAGAGATTGCTCAGTCTAGACTCTCTCCGTCCTGCCTTACCTCTTCTTCCGTCGCATCAAGGTCGCAGTCGGTGTTAGAGCTGCTGCCCTCCGTGCACGAGTTGGTGGCCACGGGTGCAACCGACGACACGGTAGCGTCAAAGACCAATTTTCCGCAGCAGCGCTCGCAGCCGTTCTCTCCCGTCTGCTTCTCGGCGATGTCGGGTTGAGCTTGCTCGAGCGGCTCCGTCGTCGCTGTGCTCTGTGCCGGCTCTGTTGCCACGGGCGGTTGACTGGCAAGAACAGGAAGGGCCGCCTGGAACGTCGCGAGTCCGTTTGTCTGCTCCTTGGGGGACGTGAATATGACAGAACATGCCGGACTGCCTCCGCCGTTGAGGTGGGTCGTGCCGTTGCTTTGGCGGTGATCTACTTGCTGCATGGACGAAGACGGCTGCAACAAAGGCGCAACAGTGGGCGTCGTGAGTGCCACCGCAACTGGATGGCGCCACCGGGCAGTTGTTGGCAAGAGGGATGCTTTCAGGTCGGTGTTCGAGCGAGCGAGACGCCTGAACCGTTTAACAATGTTTATGACCTTCAATAAATAATGTTACATGTCCAAACTCGAGCCAGTGCCCGACAGCAAGAGAAGACCCAGAAATGTTTTTTCGGAGGAGAATCAAAGTTGGGAGCACTGGCCCCGAGGCTCTTTGGCCAATAGACGCTTTGCTAAATTGTCCAGGCACTAAAGAGCAATTTCGAGGCCGAAATTACACGCACTGCACATGCTTTCGTCCGCAGCAGCAACTTTCCGAAAGCAAAAATTAAAGCTCAATGAAACTTTGCAAATGTACTTGTCAACACCTTTTTTTAGTAATGTAGTACTTTGAGTCATTCACACAGGTAAGCAAGGGTATGCAGCAGGTGTACATATATGTTCCAAACTTTGCCCACATGGTGCCTGGGTAATCTGACAAGAGGTTTATTAATGGCCGCGTAAGTCCGCACTCCCTTACTCCCACTCCGACGCTCCAAGTTTCATACTCTGAGCGCAGCAACTAAACAGGGCATAGCGTACAGGTGCGTGACACATCGAAACTATGGACGAGTCGCATGAGCCACTCTTGACCGCACAGTTTCGACCAGGCATGACAAATCCAGTATCTCGTGGATACGTAACACGGACTTAACGTGCCCAGTGTTGCACTGTGCAGTGTTGAAGGCTGAACTGAGGCTGACATTCACCTCGAATGATCAGAACCCTTCAATATTTTGAGTTATGCGACCATTTCAGATACAGTGGTCACATAAAAATTTGGAGTTTCACTTTGCGCTTCTATTTCTCTTACTCGTCTCTACGAAGTCAATTATAAGAACTCGCATCACATGACCACCATGCCCAAATCACGAATTCTGATGAACCATCTCTTTCACATGACGGGTGCAAGTACAGCAGGCTTGCGGTAATTTAAACTCGGATATTTCATACTTCTGGTTAATTCAAACAAATTTCAAAATGTTGGTGGTTCCGTCATGTTTGTAATGCATTCATAAGCCACTTAATTCGAACGGCGTTTTTGTGCAATTCATACTTTTTGTTCCCGCAATCCCGTGGAGCGCGATTCTTTACGAGCACCTGTGCACTGCAGAAAAGCAACACCCGCGGAGTTAGCTTCCACGGGTATTGCTGCTGCGCAGTGCACCGGTGCTCAGTGAGAAGCGCACTCAACGGGGCTCAAGCAGGGCACACATGAGCTCTGTGAAAACGGGCACCAATGCAGCCATTTCCGCAACAACTTGCGTGGACGCTGTGACATGGCGGCTTGGCATAGGTCCACGTCCCAGCGATTGCGAAGTAGCTATAAAACTGCCACGCGGTGCCCGTTTACATTGCTCATGTGATCCCTGCTTAATAGTTCACATTAGACAACTTTTTGGCCTTATGAACGAGCTTAATTTTGTCTTTAGTTGTCATGCATTGTTTAAACAGTCCATGATAAACAACATTTTCAAGTGATGAATAAACTTATGTCATATACATTTCACAAATGTTTCATGTGTGGCATAACTGCTTATGATCAATAGGCCTACGTAGAGGAAATCATCAAATATCTGCTTTGCATATGTAGCCGATCATATGGCAAATCACAATTTTATCTTGCATCATATTTAGATGAATTTCTGATGATTCAAACTTCTGATAATTCAAACAAAATTTGTACCTTCCTGGAATTTAAATTAATGACAGTCTACTGTATGCAGGCCAGGCAGAAAATGCATGAATACAAAATGTTGACTGGATACACCTTGTTTCACTTTACGGTGAACCACAGAAGATGCTGTAAACCACCAAAGCATATCCAATGCCGTGAGGGTGTCACGTGACATTGGGAAGTGTCACAATGACACGTGGGACAGAAAGTCATGCTATAAATTCACAGTGGTGGATTGGCTGGAATAGCTTGTAGCACCTGCTGCAGTTCATCGCAAGGTATAATGCAGTACACATGCGGATCTCACCTGATCGTCTGTTTGGGTCTCAACAGCTCTCACTTGAGAGGGCATCTGCCCATTCATCACAGTGTTCTCTGTAAAGGGGGCCAAGTTTTAACAAGCGTAAAAAGACATCATCTTTTCCTATGTACTGAATGAGCTGCCTGAATGTAACACCTAATATACAGCGCAATTCTCGATCATCCAGAGATGAAGGAGGAACCAAAACTGCTCCGAACGAAGTTGCACATCAAACGATGACCTACCGTAAAATACCGGGCAAGCACTCGCTCAAAATTGAGAGACAATCGCAGAAAAATGGGCGATGGGCACTTGTTCAGTCATCAATTTTACATGTAAATGTACTGTGCATATTTTCTCAGAACTTGCGAATTTGGGAATGGGCGCTTAGTGTGGAATGGGCAGATGCGCAGCATTCTACGGTATTCCTCGAATCACTGAAGTACCAACATTAGAGCTCTTCCGAGGTCTAGCAGTCGAAAAGAAAAAGGAAGCTCCGATGTTTTTTTAGTAACAAAGTATAGTTATTTTGTATTAAAATATAAACAATATCTACTTCCAAAAGAATGCGCAGCGTCATGCATATAGTTACAGGGCTGACGCAACGATGTTTATACTTTGCGCAAGTTCCACTTGGAACTAATCACTGATGTTAAGGGCCAATGAAACGTGCGTTCGTTTTTCATTGCACGTAATTGAGATCGTTGAAAAAATTAAAGAAGAGCGGCGCTCTCTCCCTCAACTCGCAGCCAGAATAAGCGGTTACGTGATCTAGAGCCGATTATATGACGCCAATCTTGATCTTAGCCACGCGCTGGGGCTGGCAAAGCACTAGGACACGGGACGAGTTCCAGATTATGGCATGGCTATAGTCGTCATTGGAGCGACAGGACACGGGCCACTACCCGAACGCTTGTCGAGCTATTATTGATTATTACGAGCCTAAATATGTGCCAGTATTCAAAGTAATCTGAGCATGCCCACGAACCAACCAGACATTTTTGGGTACAGTTCTCAACTGAAAACAACCATACAGCACATCATTGAAGACCTCTAGACCTTTAGACCTAAAACCTTTAGAGCAATAGACCTTTCGCTAAATTACCCAAGCATCAAAGAGAATGTTGGGAACGAAAAAACATGCACTGCAAAAAAGAAAGTGTCCATGCGATGCTCGTGCAAAGTGTCATTTTTACTTTCGAACACGCCAACACGCGCAGTGCGTGCACCCACGTTCCCGGCATTCTTTTTGATGATTGGGTAATTCGGCAAAAGGTCTACTAGAAGTCATTGAAAGCCTGAACTTGTTGTTTTTATCCGTCCCCGTGTCTCCATTTTTGGTAACATCAAACAGCACACTTCGACAAATAATAATTATGCTTAGACAGCAGGATGCTATGGCTCCAGCGGGCATCTGATATGTCTCCACTGTAGATGAGAAATTTAGTCAGTGCTGCACCACTGCTAGCCTGGGGTCTTTAGTGGGCACCATCAAGTAGTGACCCACGACCGCATGCCGGTAGGATGCTCATTCGGATCGAAACCAAAATGCCTGGGTGACACAGCGCGAACTTCCGGTCCATGGGCTCCAAGCTGTGGTGCGCTAAAGCACTCGACCATGAATCCCCCCAACACTTGAACAAAAAAAAACCTGCCTTTGACTCTGAGGAATGCATCCTGGAGCCTCCTGCAGAGACGGCGCTCCGCAAGGAGCTCCTCCTCCAGAAAGTCCACCTTGGCCTGCAGAAGCCCCAGCTCCTTCCTGTACTTCCGACACTTGCTCCGCTCACGATCCCCCCTCTCATCCTCCCCTATGTCATCCATGCGGTCCCTGCAAGCAATGCATGCACTATGGTCGGCGAGAGGTGAAGAGTAAAGTGGAAGCTCCTCCCACCTCTTTCCACTTAAGCAAAACAAACGCTGGAGAGGAGGTCACACCTTGTGGGCTCCTTCCCCCTGCGGGAAGATACCTCGTTAAAGGAGAGTTCCGGAGGATTTTCGAGCTATTCAAAGCAACAACATTTTCAGAATGGCCAGGTCTTTACTCTCCCCAACACAATATTCATTTTCTCTGAATTCAGGATAACTGTTGAGAAAACAACAGATGAAGGTTACACCAAAACCAATTCATATGTTCCAGTACTTCCCAACAAAAAGACGTGATACATTGTAAAACTTGAGGGTCGAGCCTTCGTTTTTAATAGCGCGAGATTCCCCAGCATTCATTTCACACCGCCAAACTTCTTGCAATCTGCCAGGTACTGCCTAAAATCACAAAAACTGTTGTCACATTTTCAGTGCTGTCAATAATAAGTTTGGAAAAAAAAGAAGAGATATATTTATGCATATTTTGACCTATCACTTGGGCTTCTGCAACGTGTTGCGGGTTAAGGAAAACAGGATAAGCTCCTCCCTCGGAACCCTCCATTTCCATTTCAGCAGAGGAAAAGCTGAAGAGGAAGCGAGAAAGGAGCAGAGTCCACTTGCTTCCTCTATAGCATTTGCTTTGCTAAAGTGGAAAGAGTGGGGTGCTTGTTCTACTTTTCTTAACTTGCAACAGACCCTAGTCCAGATGCATCGAACCAGTTTTTATGTAAATCGACTACCATCAAAATTTCGCCGGGGCAACTGTTTCAACCTGCCATGTTACCACACATGGAAAAATAAAAGGTTTGAGGTACACCTAAGCACTCATGAGTCGTGAATGCAAAAGCATGCATGCCATTCTTCCGCTCCTGTGTTTTGTTTGCGGCGTATTGCGGTGTAATTTTGGAAATTTCAAGTGCAGATGCGCGGATTTTGATACGCAAGTTATTGTGTAATGCTATGCTGGATAAGAAGACTAACCTGGTCCAATTGTGCTGTTAACTGCGTGCAAATAAAAAAAAATTGAGAAAACTGTGTCAGAGTGGCCGGTCTCTGGCGAAAAGTAAATTTACTTGCCGTAGCTATTTTTACTATACAAAGTTCGTACTGGTGTAGCCTCTAGCGACAATGAGTGGAATTCTGCAATAATAAATAAAAAAGGGCTCTCCTGACGCAATACACGCAGTGGTTGAGGATAGTACTGCCGGCTGACTCAACTGCTATTTAAGTAACGGAACAAAGACACGCTGGTTAGTCATTTACTGAAATACAATAACAGAGCACTATGGACTGATTCTGGAGTAGCCATAAATAAGGACGTGAACCACTTCACGACGGCAGCCACGAGTAGGGATGCCGCAAACTTTTTTCGAATCGAAGTTTCGATGATCGAATCAAGCGGTTCGAAAGGTTCGAAAGATTTCGATTTTTCGAATTGTCTATGTCGTAAAATTCGACGGAGGTCGAATTTTTGAACTTGTTAAGCTAAGAAGTTCGACGCTTTTCGAACCGTCGAACTTATTACGCTAAAAAATTCAATCTTTTTCGAACTTTCGAACTTATTGCGCTGCAAGGTTCGATGCTTGTCGAACTTTCGAACTTGACTGACCAAAAAATTCGATAAATTTCGAACTTTCGAATTTTGAAAAGTCAGAAGTTCGACGAACTTCGAACTTATAGGGTAAAAGTTCGACGTTCGTCGAACTTCGAAAGACCGGCGGACGGTTTCATTTGATTTCAAGTAGTGGGGTACATTCGTAATTTTTTTTTCTGGAACTTTTACACGCGGTGCTGCGTTCCTTACGAAAGACAATGTCATTTATTTCAATGTTCTGGCATGCTTAGGTTTAAAGAAATAAATCCCCGAAGGGGCGAGGACGGACGACGGGTTTTTGACGATTATCGTTTGTGCCAGATTTGAAGCACGCTGCAGCCGGAGCTATTTATGGTAGATATGTTATACTTTTTTTTAAGAATGATCTATGTATAGCGTAGGTAAGTGCCGTCTTAAGATGTGATTATTGTTATTCAACGTGAGTTTCGAAGAAATGTCCAAACATGTATCTGCATGCAATTATGACCTAAACTTGATATTTATTTTCGTCTAAGTTGTTTGAGGTATCGCATTTAAATTAACACCACACACAGTACATATCATTGCCATCTGCAGAATACAAAATAATATATTTATTGTTTTTTCACGTTAAGGAATAAATTAACTCATGGCAGAAGATTTCTAGTAGTGTTCAAGTTCAGGACGTCATTAAAAGAAAACTTTTTTTTTTGCGCTTCACGTTCCTGGGACGTGTTTCTTTTAGCCTGTACACATTTTGGTAAAAGAAACTTGTTTCGAAGTTCTGAACCTCTGAATATGCAAGAATAGAACACTTCCGACGAATTCTTGATAGTTTTTTTTTTCTCCTGCTTTTTATTCCCACATTTATTCTTTTTTTTTTTTTCTTTTGTTACTATCGGCACAGGTGTTTAGGTCGAAAAGACAGCTTTGAACTTCCGAACCACTAAGGATGTGACGAGCAGTGCCTTCTGACAACGAGTTTCTAACAATGACCATCTACGCAACCTTTTATGCAGTGAAGAGCGACAGTAGCTATACATATGCATAAATAATTTCAGATTAAAATAAGCTCGACCACGCCCTCTTTCCCCGTATTGTTTTCTTTAACAGTCCGAAATACCTGCAAGGGGGAGAAGGAGGCTGAAGCCTCCCTCTCCCCCCCCCCCCCCGCAACCCTCTTTACCCCCGTTTTTCCTCTTCCGACGCCACTTGTATGGTAGAACGCTCCTCGACCTCGAGTTGTGTCGGCTTTTGTGCTTTTTGCGAGGCGATTCCTCCGTCCCAGAAAATAAACCTCCAGTACAATTATAAACTTCACCGGATCGGATTACTACCAGCGTGCAAGGGGTGGCGAGCTAGTTTGCCAGGTCGCTTCAAGGTTTCTCTGAGCCTCAACCTCCTGCTCGCCCCTGGCCGTTTCGAACTGGATGAGTCTCGTAAAACAGTGTGTTCGTGCAATCACTACTGCGTGATAAATTCTAGCACGTCCGGGACACTCGTCGTCTCATTTAATTGCCTTACCAACTTCGCAGAATCTAGATATCACACCCTAACTTTTCTAAACTTGATTTTGTGAAAACAAGTGAGTCGTGAAAACGTTATTTGAAACTGAAACTGTAGAAAAACTTGAAAATCGGACTTCAAACTTTGAAAACTTCGATTTAAAAAAATTCAAAATCTTCAGTTTTTTTTTTTTTTTTTTTTTTTGAATTTAGCGTTAAAAGAGAATCGAAACTTTCGAACTTTTCGAACTTTATGCCAAAAGAAATTCAAAATCTTCGAATTGTTCGAACTTCATGTCTATAAAAATTCGAAGCGTTCGAAGTTTTCGAATTTCTTTTACAAAGAATTTCGAAATCTTGGAATTTATCGAACCTGAAGTAAAAAAATATTCGAAATATTCGAATTCGAAATTTTAGAAACCGTGAAAGCTTCGAAATTTTCCAATTCGAAACTCCGCTGTGGACAAAAGTTGCGAATTTTTCGAAATCGAACCTCGGTCGGTACGAAAATATCGAAATTTTTCGAAATCGAACCTCAGTTCGCTTCGCAAATATCGAAACCTTTCGAAATCGAACCTAGGGTGGTTCGCGACATCCCTAGCCACGAGCGAGAGTTCGGCGTTCAGTACGGCCCACCGGTACAGCCCAAAGATGGAGAACGGCAACCTCCCGGTTTGTCGTCTGCTAGCGGAGTCGGGCGCGTGCCCTCTCTCTCGTTTTGCCTTGCCGAACCTGCTGAACTTCCCGGATGTGGGGAGAGGGCGCTGCGGTCAAACAAAATGGCGCCGCCCTGGGAACGCTAAATGGAATGGTCTATACTGGAAACATGAAAACCTGCTTTAATTAACATACATAAGCTACAAAAGAATTTATATCAAGAAAGCTTTTTGATGGAGCAATCTGGAAAGTGAGGGGCAGGTAATTTTAGACAACCCAACAATGCAGAAAAATCCAGATTCCTTTCTTAAACAGGTTTCTGCCAAACAGATGCAGGTTTCTGCATTTGCCCTATACGTTCCGACCTTCTCCATCCTGAATCCCGAAAGCTTGAACTCTGAGTTATCTCCACTACATTACCTCCACTTTCATTGCCCCATCCCCTTAAGCCTTCTTCCCATTAGGGTGGATAACAGTATATGTGCTCCGTCATTTGTGTATTAACGCGACATCGTTAAGGGGCTTGTGTCGCAGAAAATCCGGTGTTGGTCGGGCAGGAAAATCCTCATTGTTCGATAGGGTCACGATGTCACAGCCACATGACCTCGCACGGGAATTTCAAACAACCCACAAAGTCAACGTGAAATGCGACGTCACGCGTGGAATGAAAGTGATTAAAACATGACATGTAATGCAAATTAAAGGTCACTGCATGTCTCAGCCGATTTCTCTTTATGAAGTGATGCATATGCCTTAAAGGAAAAATTTGAAGAATTTTAGGTGGGATTTGAACCCATGACCCTTGCGAGCCAGAAATGCTACAGACTAGGCCATGCAAACACACTTGCACGGCTTGGGAATAAGGGTGAGTTTACATGTTTAGCTCTCGCATTCCTCTTAAAGGCGAAGCTTAAGCGGCCTCCTTCAATTTTTTATGTGGAATGCACATGTTTTTAAGCATAGCGTGTCTAGATGGCGTTTCACCGTACTCTATGGAATGCAGTTTTGCAACGACAATCTGGACTATGCTTCAAACGACGGAAGGTGGAACGAGCTGAGTGAGGTGGGTAACTCTCCCTGTGGGAGTTCCACAACTGATCTATACTCATTTTCACCTCAAGTAAAAAGGATGTTTTGAGCATTGTTCATACGCCGCGTGAAGTAGTTCTTATGAGGTTTGGTTGCTGGAGGAAGAAGCGATGCTTTTGGCACTTGAAGCGTGTATGTCTT